ACGTCGAATGACTTCATGATAAAAGATTTATCAATACGTGTTGCGTGAAGACGGTCTAGGAACATCTTTGTATTGCCTAGATGGGAAGGAATAAATTCAAGTAACTGTACCAAGTTATGACTTAGATACCATCCTATCCTATCTGTAGGCCCACCCACACAACTAATTATTGGCCTAACCTTGTACGTTGCAGGGTCTTCAGATGCGAGATCGCTTGTGGATTGGATTTTGTGTGTTTTGATTAGAAGATAAAGTACTGGGCACGTGGCAAATCATTTCTAAGGCGGCTAATGATATCAGGTGGTAGGTTTGCTGCCTTCGCTGTTTTCGTCCATTCTCTGTTCAGTTTGCGGTATTGTTTTTGAAACTCATCTTTTGTGGACATTTTATAAAGCGTAGCATCTTGAAGATGTCTTTCTGTTAACGCAATGTCTAGAAGATGAGGAACCACCACAAATTCGCCGCCTTTATCGCTTGTTGACAATCGTATTTCGGCAGCATCTATCATTCTATGAATTTGTTTTATGGCCTCTTTCTGCGCTCTACTGATGTTTGAATGCATCTTATTCTTGCGAAACCTTGCTAATGTTCTAAAAACATCGTCGGCAAAAAGATAAAAGTTCGCGTCAACGCTTGGATTCGCATCCTGCTGTTCGAAGAACGTTCGTGGGAATGGCATCGGTAGCCAAGTGTCACTTGATTATCCTGATTAACGCCTCCACTCTCACCCACTCCCGCTCAGCGCATCCCTACAAACAAAAAGAGCAGTAATCAGGAATATGTTTCGCACAGCCGCGAAGGTTTGTAGTGGTCGAGAAGAGAAGATGGAGTCGTTGGCCGTTGCACGTATGACAGCTTCATCCAACGGTTATGAAAATAAGATAATGCAATGTAGGGCCCATCAGAGAAGTAACGTAGAGAAAAGAACATTGCCAACAGCAGAAAAGATACCATTCTGTATACCCTTTATCTCTGATGAAGTGAGCACCTTCGGCGATGTCTGAGGAGAGCAGGGTTGGACAATTCAGTCTTGGTAGTAGACATGCCCCGAACAATTTGAAACGCATTCTTGTTCGAAATCGCATGTACGACCGCAGCTGCACCATGCCAGACTGTCTGATATGTCCCACATCAAAGGATGGCGACTGTATGAGTACAGGGGTTGTCTATCAACCCCTGTACTCATACAGTCTTTTGCATGAGATGAGGACCCCTGACTAGGAGTCAGGGGTCCTCATCTCATGCAAAAGTTGCGGTGACGAGTATATCGGGGAAACAGCGCGCCCACTATGCGTACGCATCAAAGAACATCTCAGTGGCAAAGAAAGATCACGCCCATCCACTCCACTGGGCGCCCACAGAGTGCACGAGTATCAAGGAGTGAATTTTGAAGTGAATGTAGAAATCCTTGCGTGTGAGCCTCAAACATCTATTCGCAAAACATTGGAAGCGTTCTGGATTCATTTCAAACACCCTAAAATGAATCGCAAAGATGAGTGCCTTTCTATCACTCGCGAGCTCGCACCATATCTAGATCAGATTTTCTGATCTGGTGAAGACATGTTTAATCATCCACTCACGCGATCAGTCAGCGCTCGTTTATACTTAAGAATTCCACCGGCGATCGAAAAGGTGAGTATTGCGTGTGGCAGCTTGCTTGAGATCCGAAAGAAACCTTAGAAATTTGCTTGTGAGGCTGACGAGATGCTTTATCGGGTAGTTTATGGATTGTTGTCGCCCATTTCAGGCTCTGAAGAAGGAGACATAGCCGAAACGTCAGCCTAAGAAATATTGTTACCAATCTCGGACGTGGCTCAGCAATCAAATCAACACAATATTCTTCATGCCAAGATTCAAAGAAAATCGCACTTTTCAATTCCGTAAATATTTCGTCCAGTTTTCCTGCAAAATCCGCCAAACCCAGCAAGTGGTTACCACAGACAGACAGTAAGCCACTGCATATCTGGTACCTTTTGAAAGCTCGCATAGCACAAAACTGGAGTTTTAAGTTGGTGACAGCGGGAGAAATTGCTCCTCTTGACCGTCTCCCACAAAAATGATGAGGGAAGGGGTATTGACAGGGAGCCCAAGGAGGGGGGGGGGACGTCGGCGGTCGTATGTCACACCATTTGCTCGATCCTGGTTTCAACTTAATCTGTCAGTATAGAGCGAGTCAACAACCGCCTTTTGTCACTGTAAGACTACAATAAGAATTTCCGGCATGTGTCGCTACTGTAAATAAGCTGCAGTTGTAAATAATTTTGAAAAATTACGAAGACTTGAGTAATAAGTTTTCATGGGCGCCGAATTCAGTACTCACTAACTATGTACAAGATTGTGAAGCTCTAAAAGGCTGTAATTACATTTTTTAGCAACATCGAAACAGCTGCTACTGCCTGCCTAGCATAACTTTTTGAGGAAGCATGAGATGCAAACCCCATATCTAGAATCAGCAACTCTAATCAACCTAATAAGGGTTTTTAGGTTTTGTTTCCTTTCTAAGCCAAAATGTGATCCTTTATAACTCAAAATCGTGTGTGGTGCAAGAGGAACGATAGCAATTGCCAGCCGCTGTTGCCAATGCAATACATGCCTCAAAATGCGCAAATTTCTGGCTTATAGACTTGAGTAAAGTTGGAGTAAACGCTTTACTCGATGAGTTCTGCTCAGAGCCCAGTTTAAGTGCAGTTTGATGATATAGTTGCAAGAAAAACTTGAAATACTTGAAGTTTCACCTTTGAAACCCTTTTTTGGTATCTATCAGGTGGGTCCAAAAGTTCGTTCGCCGGATTTTCAAAAAATCATAACTTCCTTCCTTCTTAGTGGAATTTCTTGGATTAACTTTTGTTTGAAAGAGGAAACCTTTCTCAATACAACATTATCTTTGCCATGAATTGGCATTAGAAAATTTCAGAACTAGAGACAAATGAAGGAAATCAGTCAAGATTGGCATTTTTCAAGCTTGATTACGAAAAATTTTCGGGTATTCTTATTTGATAGGAAAAATTATGCCCTTTACTATAGTGCCTTTTCTACGAATTAAAACGAAAAAAATCCAAAGTTATAAGCGAACAAAGAGAATAACTTCATTTTTTTCAATTTTTGAGCATGCCCAAAGAACCCCAAACGTCACAAAAAAAGGCGAGAAAGCTAAGTACACGGGTTTTGTGACCTTCTCTTTCTAGCTGAGCGAAAATCGGACCAATCGAGAGCAATTTTGATTTTAGTGAAAGACACAGATCCGAAAATCCGGAGTTATTACGAAAATCAAAATTGCTCTCGATTGGTCTGATTTGCGATCAGCTAGAAAGAGAAAGTCACGAAACCCGTGTTCTTGGCTTTTCCGCCCTTTCTGTGACGTTTTTGGGCTTTTTTGGGCATGCTCAAAAATTGCAAAATTGAGGTAATTCTCTTTACTTGCTTATAACTTTTAATCTTTTTCGTTTTAATTCGTGAGAAAAGCAATAGCAAAAAGCATAATTTTCCTTATCAAATAATAACACTTCTCAAATTTTTTGTGATCCAGCTTAAAAAATGCCAATCTTGAGTAGATTTATTTAATTGCTTCTAACTCTCGAACTTTCTCACACCATTTCACGGCAAAGATGTTTTTGTAATGAGATAGCTTTCCCCTTTCGAACAAATATTGACTCAAGAAATTCCATCGAGAAGGAAGGAAGTTATGATTTTTTGAAAATCTGGCGAACGAACTTTTGAACCCGCCTAATAAAATTTATTTTCACATCTCATTTTCAAAAAACAGAATCTGTCTTATTTTCCTGTTCATATGAAAGTGTAATAGGAGAAAATGCTATAGAGTTCTGCGTGCTGGTGGAAAAAAATGACGTTGAATGATGCGCGAGTTGTTGACACCCACAAGCTATCGTTCCTCTTGCTCGCAACCCCTCAAAATCCTCTGTAATCCTATCTTAAAGCTACAGCAATGAAGCGAGATGATTTGCTCTGTACCTTGAATTTGAGTTAAAGCCCGCTATACAAAGCGGTACTTATAGCTTCTTCAAAGACTTCATGACAAGAGAGTTATCAACAATTAGACAGTAGAAACATTTTTTGAGAAATCCTGTACAATGGATACTTTGAAAATCAGATTTCTATTACGCGAACCTTCGCATTGTCGTCATATAAAAGACAGACACAAAGTTTTACGCATAGACTTAGGCTACATTTTTTCATTTAAAACTTCGCCTTGCTGTATTGTGCTCATGTCAACCTACCATGACCCCTCAAAACGGCTTTCAGTCTTGTTAAGCTTGAAAATAAAGAAAAACGGAAAAATCTGGAAAAAAACCCTTAATGAAAGCTGAACAAAAGTATGAAGCAAATGGTTTTTCTAATCACTACCGCATTCGTTGACTCTCAAATTTCTTTGTATTAGGTTATCACACACACACACACACACACACACACACACACACACACACACACACACACACACACACACACACACACACACACACACACACACACACACACACACACACACACACACACACACACACACACACACACACACACACACACACACACACACACACACACACACACACACACACACACACACACACACACACACACACACACACACACACACACACACACACACACACACACACACACACACACACACACACACACACACACACACACACACACACACACACACACACACACACACACACACACGTAAACAGCCTTAGCGCTTTATTATAAGTTATCTAATTTTATTTCGAACCTATTCGGAAGGAACTCGCTATGGCAGTACTAGAAAGTAGAAAACTTTTTTGTATTGTAATGAAGTTGGAGCAAGGCAAATTGTCTAGACAGAAAGAGCTTATGATTTTTTGAAAACGAAACGACAGAACTTTTGCACCGACTTACATTATCTTTCTGGTTTTTCTTTTCTGCTCTTTCTGGTCCTCTCCATTGCCAACGCTCATTCTAAGCACGATCTTTTTTTTTACCTATTGTGATGCACACAGATAATGGGAGGTAGACGAGCTGAAAGAGGTGAACTTCCATGGGCAATATTGCTTCACATTAAAGGTGAGCTGTTCCTACGTCTTAAGAGTACGTATGTATTAATCGAGTTTGCAGAATTCACTCTGGCGAGCTTTACGTTGAAGTTGTTGTTGAATACGTGCTCATGTTTAAATGATGCGTCGGTAGCTTGCGTTCATGCGGATTACGAGCATGCGTAATGCGTACGGCTTTTGATGGATGTCCACGTAGACCTGTCAATCGACAACATAACGCGCTTTACTCATATGCTTACAACATTTGGAAGTTTTAGCTTTGAATCAGATGAACGCATTGCATACACCGTCGAATACTTCTTAATTTTGTGCACATGTGAAACAATAACATTTTGCGCACAAGAAATTCAGATTGACAGAATGAAGTTATTTAACATGGCTGGATAAAGTGCAACTTTTTGAAATTCTCAATCAAAACAAGCAACAACAGCACACTTTTGCATGCAGGAACATGCGCTGGAACGCTGATTTCAAGACGACATGTTATCACTGCAGCTCATTGTTTTCGGGCACCGGGGATCAAAAACCAATGCAGGTAGATCAGAAGCGTGACTCTAACCACTTTTTCCGCATTTTTCTTGTAGCACCTCAGACATGCTCTCACCAGACTTTGTGTTAGACAACACGAAAGTCTTTATTGGTGGAACTTGCAGTTCGGCAGGCAGATTTGGTTGTATTAGGTCGGATATTGGTAGAGTTTACAAAATTGCCCGGTACGTAGTATTATTACAGTGCTCAAATCATTTCCATGCAAATATGTCATTATAGCGCATTTTACGAGGATTACTTCAAATTTGGCTGTAAAGGCACTCACGACATAGCGATTCTCGAGTTGGCTGAGGACGTCCCAGAGACAATAAATCATGTTTGCCTACCTTTTATGCACAAAGTGGAAGAATTAGAAGATCCTTATCTGAAGCTAAGAGTATTTGGATGGGGAAGAGATCGTGTGAGCCGTTTGAAAAAACAGAAATCTTATCAGTATCATTATTTCAGCATTAAACCATAACAACAATCTTTCACCTTACTTGCAAATAACGGAATTAGGTGAGAATGTCATATTTATCTATCGCACCAGCCGACAGAGATACTTGATGAAGGTGCAAAATTACCGAAGTCAGTCTGCAACAAAACGAACAAACTTAAAGCAAAAGATGCGTTCTGCCTCAAGTCCGGTCAGCAGCAATGGTGCAAAGTGAGTTTTTTACGACATACGCAGAATGTTGTGATACAATTCTTTGCCGCCTTTCCCTGAATTCGGTAACTATTGTTGCAAACTGAACGGATTTCTCCTAACATACTACTCTTCAATTGAAAGGCGCGTACTGCATTTATTTTCCTCACAAACGCTAGCTCCTTTTATATACACGATAATTTTGGCGCATTATATCTCCCCTCAAGGTGCTGCACCGGGTTGCGTCGGAATGGCTGAGGCAATGTTGCAGCATTTGCTCGAGTTATCAGGTTGTTCCATAAGTTCTGTCACTTTTAACTTTCAACTGCAATAAGTCACACACTTCTTACTTCTAAATAGGTTTCAAACTGCCATTTTATAGAAAAAAAAGATTCAACTGACCGAAAAAAATGAGAAAAATAGTAGTTCCGTCCAAAAAGATCCTGCCAATCCTAACTTGCTCACTTAAACACCTCCTATATGAAAACACTAAGTAGTTGTATACCCCAAGCCTGTAGCAAACGCCTCTAGCAGCCTGTAGAAGCCCATAGCATTTTCTTCAATTTATCGGACTGCTGATTTCTAGATTTTACCTTCAAAGTCAAGGTGAAGCAAAGTTGGTGTAAAAGTAAGAACGATATCATGTAAAGCTTGCTTTGCATTAACAAATGGTCTTCTGATTCCTGCCTAGGGATTAAAGGTGTAGGACTTATTCCGTTTGGACGTCAAAACGGACGGAGCTTATGGGACAACCTGAAAGTAATGGTGTACATCCAAACGGTAGAATTTGCTTCGATATCGTACGACTCGAGTTTAGCAGTTTCAACAAATGCTATTCCTCTTTTGTTAATGAAATGCAAACAATTTGTGGTCATTTTTAGTTCACATTGCCATCCAAATAACCAAAGAAAAAAACCATGTTGCTCTTTGGGGATAGCATCATATTTTAACAGCCACAATGTAGGTTTTCTGAAGATATTCTCCATAACCTTGATTGAGGACGAAATTAGGATATTAATTGTGCGGAAGAAACTTTTCGGAATAGGTGTAATCAGAGATAAATCCACAACTGAGGAACTTCTTCAGTAAGCATAGAAATGTTGAAGAAGTGAGCAGATGTTTGCAAAGCGTCTCAGCACATTCTTTATAAACGATATGAGATATACCGTCAAATGGTCCAGTCAATGAAGGCTCAGAGTTTTTAAAATTTTGAAGACACCAGAGGAATTGAAGTATACATCACATAGCAGGCGACAGGTTGGAAATGAATTCACCAATTTGTCAGTAGTCGCTATGGTCTCTTTTCGATTGAAAACGCTGGCGAAATAACAAGTACATTGGCTTTTTCAGTATCAGTTACTGTAGCTCTTGTCGGTTAAGTCTTTCAGAACTGGTAATGGACAGTTTCCTTTTAGTTTAGAACTCACAAAGCGAAACAATTGTTTTGAAGATGCACTACCAATGAGTTTTCTCTCTTTATATGCAAGAAATTTTTTTTTAGTGTTAATCGATATCTTTGCATATCTTTTTATAGGAGCCATTGTTAAGTGGACTTTGAAGGCGGAAAAAGAATCGATTTTTTATTTGAAATCTTTATTTGCTGAGGGTACTTAGAACTGGAATTTGTAGGGATCCGAAAGGGTAAAGAAAATTTGAAAGCTTGGTATACAACTTAGCAAAACCTCCGGTATACATCGTCAGCAGATGAGTACTGGCTAGACACGCGCAACCAATCAACGCTCTGGAGATAATGATTTAAAGTATGTAGAAAATTCTACTCGCCTAAAATCAGGCAAAGGAGGAAGATTAGGAGAACAAGAAGTTTCATTCAAGATAAAAGTGATTACGGAGTGGTCGGAGTTAGCAAGAGGTGCTGATTTCCACACTTGATACGATAGGTGACGACGAAAGAACCAAGTCAAGAATATTGAACGCACGCGTCGGGGATTTGACTACTTGTTCCATGCTGAGATCAGCAAAAAGATTCACAAATTTTGCAGTTGTATTATTGAGTGGTTTCACACGGCTCAAGTCGACCTGCAGATTGCAATGCCAATAATTACTGTGTTTGAAATTGCAATTGAGAGATCAGCCAGTAGACAAGCCAAATCATCATCATCAGTCAACTGGTTACTAGGAGGACAGTGAACTAATACAGTACGTATTTTTGTTTTGATTAAGTCAGCACATAGAACGCTTGCTTTTGTTGAACTGCGTACTTCTATATTCTGAATCAAAAGTGTTGCATGAGCCAAAAACATTCTCCGCCACCTCTACAAGCACTTCTATCAGAGCGGAAAATAGAATACGGTAGACACCTATTGTTTCGCTACCAAAAACCTTAGGAGAAAACCATGTCTCAGTGACAAAAAACTAAATCCGGGTTGTAGTAATAAAAATGCATGGAAATGGTGAATTTTGTTTAATAGACTTCTGGCACTAAAAAATAAGCTCTTATTTCTGAACCCCGTGCAAGCTTACGTGTTTCCCGTTTTCCGAGTAGCCAGATCACTGATTTTTACAAGTTGCCCGCGGTAGACAACCTATTTCTTGCTCTTTTTTCCTCTATTACGTTCGCTTGCTGTCTGCCTGAGGTCGCACTTTGAGTTGCGCTCTTCCTGGGTCATGCTGCGACGGACATAGACACCAGGAAATCCAGCGTTACGGAGCGAGTGAGCGTTAGCAGGAGCGCGCCTCCGGCAGACGATAGAAGGCAGCAACAGCTTAATGAGCCTCGGATGAGATAGACTGGGTTTAATCAGCCAATACAGCTCGCTGGGTGGACAGTCGATGTTCAGCGCTTCCGATATCGAGTCTACCTTTTTCTGAAGATAGTTCCGCCGTTCAATTGCTCCCAAGCCTTCAGGTGGCTCCTCCACGCCGCTAATTACAAGGCTTCAAGACCTTTTCTATTCCTCAATGACGGCTAAAAACTCCTTCGGTATTTTTTCCGCTAACACTTTCAGCATATCCGTCAGGATGGGATCACGACTTCTTTCCAGCAATGAAGAGATCAAATCCTGTGTCTCATATTTCTGTACTCTTCAATTACACTTCCACAGGCCTCTAAATTCACCTCTTCATTTCCTCTAATCGAAAGTTTTGAGCCACTTGAAGGTCCTTTGCTTTTGCTTCCTCGAGTCGTTTTGACAGCCATTTTGATCTACCCAACGCAGACTATCGATCACAATACTGCCCAAAAAACTCAAATCAGTAAAAAATTGGCGAACGCGGGGCAAAATCTAACAGGTGACTGGAGAACTGTGTGGAGCCAATTATATAAAGAAGAATTTGTCACAACAAGTGTTGAACGATAAAGCAGAAAGCGTAAAATTTACAAAATGCGAGAGAGCAAACAAAATGCGGCCGCTCACTAACTCAGAAAGAGGAGAATGAGAAAGTTTGTACCGTTTTTGGACTGGCCCGCAATTGAAAGTGAAAGCAGGGTGACAGTCTACGTGCCGTTCAATCCCAAATTGTGCTCTTTCTCACAGCTAGGCTTCATCAAGGGAATTTTTTTGACACACTTAGTAATGCACTGTGCTCCCAAAACATCGTGCTCACTTTGTTTAGACCTTGCTAATTTTCAAAGTTATTCCTCCAACCCTCAAAAGATGCACTTATTTACAAAACCTTGATGATGAGTTTGACTGCGGTTCTTGCGATTACAGGAGCATAAAACGCTCATACAAAAAGGCACCACCTCAACGCTTAGCTCACACCAGTGCGTAAATAGTATTATACATCAGCAGACAACACATTCGATCAGAGATGAAAACCAGGAGAGGCTAAAGGTGCGTGCGTGTTGCACGCGGTAGTGCCATTGTCACGATTTTCAAAATGCCCTATAACCAGTAGAATGAGCAAAGCTTTTGCAACGCAATAATTTTCTGCATCTTCTCATTCACAATTCTCGTGATTAATCTTAGCTGACAAATTTCAACTTCATCCAGCAAAAAATATCGAACATCAAGAAGTAAGCAGTTCGTACAACTGCACATTTTCTTATCTTATGGCTTTTCTTTTCTACGACGTGTGCAGAAATGGCGTATCTTTTTGAGCAGCGAAAATCCACCAAATGTATTCTACGAATATGAAGCGTACTGTGTGAAGATCAGGTTGGAAGTCCGTAGAACTTTCTGGAAGAAGATCTGGAGATCTGAGTTTTGAAGCAGTATGTAGATCTATGTTGCATGGCACGTTTCATGTCTGCTCTTTTATTCCATTCTTGCGTCATTTACAGTTAACAATGTAGTTGTCTTTTCACTTGTTTTAGGGTGACAGTGGCGGAGGAGTAACAGCTACAATTCGTGGAAGAGATTACTTAATGGGAGTAGCCATGCGGGGACCTCGTTGTAATGTGGTTGCTCGAAATGTTAAGGGTATTTTTAATCCAAAGGCAAGCAAAGTTTTGACATTTTTTAATGTCAGACAATAGTACTTTGAAAAATTAGGACAGCCTTCTTCTTTCATTATGTTTACGGCTTTCATGATTTCAGGTTGCCATTGACATTATGTATTACAAGAAGATGATAGAAACATGGATTCGGGCAAGTAGAAAATTCAAGATTGTAAATACACGTAGAAGCTAACAGTCTTAGACTGGGATAACGATTTATTCAGTAGCATTCTTCATCTACCATATTTGATCATTTCCAATGTTTTGATGATGCTGCGTTGTTGTTAGATCCAACCCATAAAGAAGTAAGCACGACATCATATGCAACAATTTGTTTCTATCTAATGCAAAAATTACACTGCACAGATAACCAAATCATACCTAACTTAGATACGATACCGCTCATAATTCGTCAAAAAAGTCGCCAAACTGCTTTGGACTCCGCCGGAGTGCGGCAGAGTGCGCCACACTTCACTAGAGTTCGCCGGAGAGCAGCGGAGTGCGCCTTACATCACTAGAGTCCCGTCGGAATCCGAGTCGCATCGCCATATCTCGCTTCAGAATAAACGAATTCTGAATCCGAGGGCACTGTTCGATTCAGCTCTGCGAGACGCATCATCTAGTATATAGGAGTGCCACAATATAACAGGATATGATAGGTATACGCTAAACAGTATGATTCCGCTCAGTTTTGCATTTTTTTGTTTGATTGAATTGTTCAGTTGGCTGATAACAGTATTGCCATTGATTTGTCGCTGATGACACATAGGAAGTATACCGGGGGAGTATAGTAGAGAGTCACACTGATCGAATTTTTCTAAAATCTGCTCAAGATCACGATACCGATCACAGAATGTGCGAAATCTCGGTGAACTTCGCGAATTCCGGGATTTAAGCTCAAGTCCGCGACATTCTGGGAATCCCACGACACTCCAGGAATCCGCGAAATAAAGGATTTCACGCAAAATACGCAGCACCATAATTTCCTTTGGAATGAATATATTCTGAATCAGAAAATGGCATTGTGTTCAGATCGTCAAGGCGAATCTTTTGATATACTGCATGCCCTCGATATTCCGTTTCCAGTTTTCTCGAATTTTTCTGCGGAGGTCCCTTCGCAAGAATATAACGCAGCGCCTGTGTATTATAAAAGACTAGCTGGCTTACCCGGCTCCGCCGTATGTTCCGAATAGAAAATTCCATTTCTTAACCGATCCGGACCAAACTTGGCACACATACCCTTCGGGCCCCGGCGGGTGTCACAGTCCACTTTTCGTTATCGATCGGTGTCGATTTTATCGATTTTTTGCAAAATTTGAGCTACGGGGCTGGGAGTTGGCAGAGGGGTGTAATCGAGCATGCTGATTACGAATACAATATTAGTTTTCGAAACCGTGCATTACTTTTATCGATTTTATCGATTTTTTTGCAAAGTTGGGGTGATCAGCATGCTCGATTACCCCCTGTGCCAAATCCCAGCCCCGTAGCTCAAATTTGCAAAAAAATCGATAAAATCGATAAAAGTAATGCACGATTCTAAAAACTAATATTGTATTCGGAATCCCCATGCTCACTTACCCCCTGTGCCAACTCCCAGCCCCGTAGCTCAAATTTTGCAAAAAATCGATAAAATCGATATCGATCGATACGAAAAGTAGCCTATGACACCCGCCGGGGCCCGAAGTGTATGTGTGCCAAGTTTGGTCCCGATCGGTTCAGAAATGGAATTTTCTATTCGGAACATACGTACACACATACAGACAGACAGATAGACATACAGACAGACAGACAGACAAACAGACATTCAACTTTATATATAAGATTCCAGTAAGCTGATTTCAATAATTTTCTCCAGGTTTCAAGACAATAGGACATATAGTATATTCCAGTAAGCAATATTCGGTAGCATTGCTTTTGTAGGTTATCATGCGCTAAGTAGTAGCCGCAGACTTCTTTCCATAAAAGGTAGAAGCGTCGGTGAATTCTGGAAAAATCACGCGTTTTTAGATTCTACTCGCCATAACTTCCTTCGGAATAAGTATATTTTGAATCCGAAAACAGTACTGTGCTCAGCTTATCAATGCGAATCTTCTTATATACAGCATGCCCTTGATATCTCGATTTCAATATTTTTGAATCTTTCTGCGGAAGTCTCTTCGCGAAGGTGTAAAGCAGCGAGCATTGTCCCGAGTAAATTCCGGTAAGGACCTTTCGATAGTACTTGTTCTATAGATTATGATGCACTAAACTATAGCCGCAGATTTTTTTTAAGGAAATAGAAGGGCGGTGAATTGTGGAGAAATGTCGTCCCAAGTTCTACTCGCCATAGCCCTAAATTACGGAGCTCTTTTGCTAAGCAGATGTGATTATCGTAATCAGCAGGTCGGATAACCTCTATGAGCAAGTTTTCCGAGATGTTCGGGTTATTTCATTTTTTCCCGTTTTAGGCCCTGGAAGCTCGCCGTTGAATTTTGTTCAAAATGTTGATGCTCTTGATTTGTAAGGAAACTTCGCTTGTAGAGGTCTTCGAATACGCTTTTTATGAAAATTTGGTTTTCGGGGATTGCAGGGTCTTTTTGGAGAGATACGGTGAAGTGACCGTGACCACCACGAAAGTGCGTAACTTTGCCCGCACTTCTCGCGCACTTGTCAGAAAACTTTCCTGCTTGCTTTCCTAAGTCAAAGTTACTAGGAAGTGTGCTGTCGAATGGTTCATGACTCAGGTCTCAGTCTATGAAAATCGCCGAATTACGAGCCTATGAATACACGTCCTCATGAATTTTGCTCAAAATGTAAAGATCGCAAATTTCGTCGAAATTCCACCGTGAGCGCTTCGCTAATCAAATCTTTTCACATCCTTAATGGATCTTATTGTGTTAGATTTGGTAGTTTGAGCTCTAGCCACGATATAGCTTTGTACAAGCGCTGACGGTGGAATTTCGACGAAAATTGCGATCTTTACATTTTGGGCAAAATTCATGAGGACGTGTATTCATAGGCTCGTAACTCGGCGGCGATTTTCATAGACTGGAGCCTGAGTCATGCACCATTCGACAGCACACTTCCTAATAACTTTGACTTAGAAAAGCAAGCAGGCAAGTTTTCTGACAGATGCGCGAGAAGTGCGGGCAAAGTTACGCACCTTCATGGTGATTACGGTCACCTCTATTCTATCTTCTATTTCCTTTGGAAAGAAATCTGCGTCTACTATTTGGCGCGTCATAATCTACAGAAAAAGTACTATCGAAAGGTCCTTGCTGGGATTTAGTCGGGAAAATGCTCGCTGCTATACAGCTCCGCGAAGAGACGTCCGCTGAAAGATTCAAGAATACTGAAATCGAAATATCAAGGACATGCTGTATATAAGAAAATTCGCCTTGAATGAGCTGAGCACAGCGCTCTTTTCGGACTCAATATGCTTATTCCGAAGGAAGTTATGGCGAGTAGAATTTAAAAACGCGTGATTTTTACGGGATTCATCAACGCTTCTATCTCCTTTGAAAAGAAGCCTGAGCCTATTTTTTGCGCACAACAAGAACAGTACTATCGAATAGTGCTACAAGAACAGTATTATCGAATAGTGCTTACTGGAATCTTTTATATTACACAGACACTGCGTTACATCCTTGCGAAAGGACCTCCACAAAAAAATTCGAGAAAACCGGAAAATATCGAGGGCACGCTGTATAACAAAAGATTTGCCTCGACGATCTGAACACAATGCTGCTTTCGGATTTAGAATATATTTGTCCCGAAGGTGGTTATGGCGTCGCGTATTCTGCGTAATTCCCATGATTCCGCTGATCCTAGAATGTCGCGAACTTCCAGGAATATCGCACACTTTAGAGGAAATGAATTCCGCGAGGTTCACGGAAATTTTGCACATTCTGTGAGCGGTATTGTGTTCTTGAGCAGATTTTAGAGCAAATTCTATCGGAGTGACTCTCTACCATGCTCCTACAGTATACTCTCTATGTGTCAATAACGACAAATCAATGGCAATACTGTAATCAGCAGCTGAACAATCCAAACAAATAAAAATCTGCAAAATTGAGCAGAAACTTACTGTCTACTATCTCTGTCTCTGTCTTCTTACTGTCTGTCTCTCTGTCTTACTTACCTATCATATCCCGCTAGAATGTGGTACTCTTACATACTAGATGATGCGTCTCGCAGAGCTGAATCGAACAGTGCCCTCGGATTCAGAATTCGTTCATTCTGAAGGGAGATATGGCGATGCGACGCGGACTCCGACGGACTCTAGCGATGTGAGGCGCACTCCGCTGCTCTCCGGCAAACTCTAGTGAAGTGTGGCACACTCTGCCGCACTCCGGCGCACTGCAGCGCACTCTGGCGGAGTGCGCCGCAGTCCGGTGACTTTTTTGACGAATTATGAGCGGTATTGTATATATGAATCAGTCTCAAATGCTGAGTCCAAATATGCTATCTTTAAAGGCAGCGTCCAGGCAAATCTAAAGCTATGAGGTTTTTACGTGGAAAGTACTTTCGGGGCCCTAACTAAGCCACTGCCCTACCGGCAGCTCAGGTTGTGCCCTAACGGCTGAGGTATTCCCCTCGAAACTGGACCCCGCAACCGTGTTTCGCATGGATTCATGGCGCAAAGCGTGGATCCTGGCGCGAAACTGCCATGAATCCATGCGAATACGTTCGCGGGGCCAGTTTCGAGGGAATACCTCAGCCATTAGAGCACTACCTGAGCTGCCGCTTGGGCAGTGCCTTGATCAGGGCCCCAAAAATTCTTTCCACGTAAAAGCCCCATAGGTCCAGATCTGCCTGGACGCTGTCTTTAACTGCGGCGCACCATTACGATTTACAAACTTTTCCTGCGCAGAACTGGCATAAAACTGAACATAGAAAGACTGCATGCAGTAAAAAATCTATAAAAAGATTTGCTGGGATTACGAAACAGCAAATCGATATTCTCTTACTGAAGAGGAGCTTAAATGACGTTTTGATGCCAGTAAGTCGATAAGTACGCAAATTTTGCGCAGAAAAAAGTCAACAGCTCGCTCCAGATTGATGCGCCGCCGCTAGGAATAGCATACTTGGAATCAGAGTTTAATTCAAAACATATGAGTCTCTTTCCAAAAGGCCGTGCTAACTCAGGTTCCTTTTTTGTTAGCCAGATTCAAACAAGACAAACTGATGGGTTGAAAATTTTGTTCCAAATTGAGGCCATCGTTAGATGAGAAACATCATAAGCATAAACTGGGAAAGATTTTCATTTTTTTCAATTTTCGTCGAATTCATTACGAAGCTTGTACACCTTCACTCTATGAGTTTTGAGGATAGGTTCGGAAAATGGCACGAACTTCTGGACCAATCCTACTATGATAACACGCTAAGGGTGTTTGCGTGTTTTTGTGTGTGTGTGTGTCTGAATATGTGTCTGTCACGAAATTCATAGCGCGAGTTCCATCCAACGTCCTAAGCCAAAGTTTTGCATATTACATCCTAGCAGCAGGAAAGTCCATTGTGCAAAAGAACAAGCGGATCCGATAATTGGATCCCCTAGAAGTTGCGCGTGAAACGGGTCCACTTGACTTCTGGCCAGCAAAACTGGGTCCGTATTTCCACTTTTTGCAAAGTCGTGGATGTGCTTGGCATCTCAATATGCAAGCCATGGGCTTTGGTCCAAAAAATGGATCAAAAGTCTACTACTTCACAAAAATGACGCTGAAATGTATTGGTTGCTCGATGGTCGATTTGCCAAGGTTTTACTTGAGCATTTGAGAAGATTTTTGCACAGAGATGTAGCTTAGGGTGTTACTGTCCTTATAGCGACTATTTAGCCAGAAAAAAGTTCAAGAATCTATTCAAGTTTGCATTTGTTCTTCTGCAAAAAATTTCATCCTCTCAAAATCACCGTTCTCATATGGAAAAGCTTTTGGAATGAGTAGTTGTTTACAATTTTATTCGTGATATTTGGCACTGTCCGGTGAGTTTCAATGCCATCATAAGGCATTGAGTAAGGCGTATAGAGTAGGACCACAGCGAGCCTCTGCGAAGCAGAGGTGTAACATAGCGCAAGCTGCAGTCAAGATTTTGAGCTGATTTTCTGGCTATAGCACGCCAGCAGTGCCCAGGTTCATTATGTAAAAAAAGTGAGCGAATCTGTTTCGGTCATTCGAAAATCGCGAAAACGGATCCACATACATTTAAGGCAAACGAGATCCTAATGCAAGGAGTCTGCAGTAACTTTAAGACGTTTAACTTGGACATCTTCTAAGCCCTGGAATTCAGCGCAGATACATAGCAAAAAGTTATTTCCGTCCAAAAGTGGCGTTAAAAAGAGATGACTCAATTGATTGTTGATTTCCAAAGAACTCACAGTATAGCTGGAAATATTCTAGGCTGGGAATGTAGTGTGCATCCGTTGTTGTTCTAATTAGCAACATCGCGTTGATAAAACCAATTCAAAGTTACACTAACCGTCTACTAAAAAATTTCTCTACGCTAAATTTACCGGTTTCACATGAAAACCTCACAGAATGAATTGTGATTTACATCATATTCTTCACGATCAGCATTTTCGGGGGAGGTTCAAAGCAATTTGAGAGATGAGGCAGGACGCTGTTTAGCTCTGAGGCCAAGCATGGATGCGCAGACCCGCACGGCACGATGTTCATGGGGTGCATAGAGCCAGTACCTGCTGTGGGCGTGCCACACTTTGCCTTCCTTAAGAGAAAATGCTGCTCAAAAATTATAGAGTAGGACCAGTGCGAGCCTCTGCGAAGCAGAGGTGACGCACTGATCTAAAATAAATTCACCAGCCTTTCTCGCCTCTAAACTTGCATGATTATTTTGGCCTTATATAAGTCCCAGTAAGAAAAGATTTTTAGAGAAACATTTATTTAATTTTTCCAAGAGATCAAAGTTGCTTCTTCTTCTTATTCTTACGCTTATGACCGGGGCAATCCAAACAGAGACATCGCGGGCGATTGCCTTTTACCTTGCAGTATCCTTTTGGGCATTTCTATAATAATGTTTATACTATCATAATTTTAGATTGATGAGTGTTTGGATAGACCTACCTTCTTTTTCAAGCAAGCTGCTTTGCACTGGCGATTGGAAACTTTGGGATTATTGAACATGTCTGAGCAAATCGGTATCATCTCCCTTTTGCGCGCCTCGACTGACATTTCCAAGAGTAACAGTAATATCACGACAGCAAAGTGACGCATCATTATCTAGAAAGAAAAAAACTGGCTTTGCTAATTTTTCTAATTATGGTACGATCCAAAACTCGAAGAGAGACTTGCAGTAGGTGTAAGTAAATGTTAACAGAACTTCATTTGTTTTGTTTTATTAGTTTAAGGTATTATGCTCACATATCAGCCCAAAGTCTTTGCGTATGCGAAGAGAGCTACTCATTTACCATTCTAGTAAAGGCTACTGCTGGACGAAGGCGCGAAGCAGAGTAAATTGAGCGGGCGCAAACGCGGCTCGCGCGTATCTTCACCTTTGTAAACTTAACGCCCCATGCGCTCTGCGGCTAATAAAGCCGCGAAAGCGATTATTACGCCTTCGTCATGCGGTAGCCTATATTTAGAAAAAAAGCCCAAAATGCGTGTTTTTCTAGCGTTCTGACCTTTTAGAAAATATTATCCCAAAAAACCCTTATTTAGCAAATTTTTTCATCTCAGGAAACTTCCAAATTTTTTTCCAAAGGTGATGTGATACTTTTGAAAATTTCCAAGTTTACTGCAATCACGACCAGTAGGAGAAAATCAATCAGTTTATAACTCATGCACTGGCTTCCTTTGAGAATTTCGCCATCCATTCTCACGCGCCGCTCCCCTCCCCTCCTGCCTGCCCTGTTTTGTACGTGAATTTGATAAGCGTTACTGTGAAATGTATGCCAATTTGACCGCAATGCCGTCAGAACAGTCCCATAAAGGATCATGTCGCGCGGATGGCTACTTACTGAAAGCAGGCACAGCGTTCCCAAGACGCCGATTCTCAGGGATTCGATTGTTTCGTTCCTTTTGAATTGCTTAGGTCTCGTTTCGAAAACGTAGATTTTGGGCGCCAAGATCGCTGTAAACTTACTTATCAAACGCAAAGACTATTCTGGCTTTTGGAAAACGCGGAAACAATGAGACGACCTGAACCAAGAATCTTTTGAGCAGCAATCAAGATTTACAAAGTAGCGTACAAGAAAGCCGGGTAACACCGCACTAGGCAACACCCACAACCGAAATGAGGCTGAACTGCACTGTAATCAGCCAGAAAAGTGACACCTGCTGATAGCGGATAAGTAGGCCGTATTGAAGCCAGGATTAGTTCATACTAGCTGGCATACCCGGTCTTGCCCGGTTCATGAGCCACGGAGCCAGAGAGAGGAGGGGGAGCGCATAAATGTGCTCCGCTTAAATCTATGCCTTTTCATCTTTCGTCCCGCTTCCATCTGCTGCAGTCCTCCCCCTCCCCCCCTCCCCCCTTTCCTTCTCCGGTCCTGCAGCCTATATCCACCTGCAGGGTGCATAGTAGTTGCAAATGCCTACCTCAAAGCAGCATCATCTGGAAGTACCGCATCTTTCTGACCGCAAAATGAGAATGAGTTTTTTGCTGTTGTTTACACAAAAATGTACAAGCGGTATGATAGCGGTCAATAAGGCTTCATTTTCATTGCTAGGTGCCAAAAATCAATAAATCGTCAGCATGTGGTCCATGAACTTGACGTTCATGGACCACATGCTCCATGTCTGAGGGAATTTGCTTCATACATACATACATACATACATACGCGTCTGGCTTTTCCCCTGCTACTGTACTGGGTGTGTGGTCGATTGGTTATCTGCTGTGTTTTCTGCTCTTTTTGGCGCACTTCTAAGTGCATTTAAATAAAATAAATAAAATAAATCGATGGAAAACCTTAGCAAATCGCCTCAAAGAGTAGCCTAAAACCATCTACAGGGTCGAAAACATATATGTGCAAAGTTTCAGCTCAGTTGGTTCAGGCGCAAGAGAGTCTACAAAAAACATACGGTTCAAAGTTGCACAAACTTTGACTTTTATAGATATACCAGTGCGTCACCTCTGCTTCGCAGAGGCTCGCATTGGCCCTACTTTCTGTATGCCTAACTCATTCCCGCATAATAATGACATTAAAACTCACCGAGCCATGCAGGCTATCACGAATGATTTGTAAACAACTACTCATTCCCAGAGCTTTTTTGTGTGAAATCGATATTTTCGCGTGGATGAAACTTTTCCGAGAAAAATTATTGCGAATTTGAATTGGTTTTTGGACTTTTTATCATAACTTATATTGTGTGTGTGTGTGTGTGTGTGTGTGTGTGTGTGTGTGTGTGTGTGTGTGTGTGTGTGTGTGTGTGTGTGTGTGTGCGCGTGTGTGTGTGTGTGTGTGTGTGTGTGTGTGTGTGTGTGTGTGTGTGTGTGTGTGTGTGTGTGTGTGTGTGTGTGTGTGTGTGTGTGTGTGTGTGTGTGTGTGTGTGTGTGTGTGTGTGTGTGTGTGTGTGTGTGTGTGTGTGTGTGTGTGTGTGTGTGTGTGTGTGTGTAAGTTTGTCTGTCTGTCGCGAAATTCGTAGAACGTGTTCCAGCCAATCTTCTGAGCCCAAATTTTGCACAGCTCATGCTACCAACATGAGAGTCCACTGTACAAAAGCACGAGCGGATCCGTTTGAATCCCTCAAAAAATGCGCATCGGATCCACTTGACTTTTGGCCAAAAAAATGAGCCTGTACCACCACTTTTGCGATGCCATGGATATGTTTGACAAGCTGATGTGGAAGCCATGGACTTCAGTCCAGAAAACTGAACTAAAGTTGGCTACTTTACGAAAATGGCGCCAAAAAGAGTTAGTTGCGTAAATGTTCGTTTTGCCAAGATTTCACCTGATCATTTGAGAAGATTTTTGCACAGAGATGTAGCCCATGATGTTTGTTGTCCTTATGGCAACTACCAAGCCATAAAAATTTTAAAAACCCACTCAAATTTGCATCTGTTCTTCTGGAAAAAATTTCATCCAGGCGAAAGAAGTGATCTCACACGAAAAACCTCTAGGGATGAGTAGTTGTTTACGAATCATTCGTGATAGCTTAAGGGCCGGGCATACTCCAAGCGATTTCAATCGCGACGCGATTTGGCAATATTCCAGGTGTCCATAACTCATTGTAAACACATTATAAATGTACAGAAGATAGGGCATTTCATCAGTTTACGTAAGTTATACACACTATGCATGTGCAGCTTGCCAATGTTGGATCCGAAGACTTCTGGCGAATTGCCAAATCGCGTCGCGACTGAAATCGCGTGGACTATGTCCGGCCCTTTACATAGCGCGGTGAGTTTCAATGCCATTATTATGCGGAAATGAGCAAGGCATACAGAAATAGGGCCAGTGCGAGCCTCTGCGAAGCAGAGGTGACGCACTGGTAGCCTAATAGTCGCCATGCCTACAACAAAACACTAATCCTTCTTTGCCCACCTCAGAAATCCCGCTTCAAAAGACCTCCTAACTTTGGAATTAGAAGCCAACCAAAATCTTGTTTTTCCTATTTTTCGCTTTTAATGGCTGCGCTTTCACCAAATATTACTCAGAGCTAAGAAGACGAATCAGGTTCGAATCACTGCTATGAAATCTACGCGGTTTAGGCTATCGATTCATATAAATAACGTTCGCTAAAAATGTTTTTTTTAAAATCTAAAAAGTTGTGGCTGCTACAGCTTTTTAGGGGTGGTGCCACATTAACTTACCTTCAAACAGATCAAATAGCTGCGTTTTTTGTATCGTTGTTATTGCTTAATCTTCTTCTTTACATAACCGAAATTTCATATAAAAACGTTTTTTCAAGAGCAAGACATAACCGCTTTTCCTTACCTATGCAAATTTGAAATACTGCGAAAATACTGCGAAAATGTTGGGATACGGTTACATGCTAACAAGGCAAGTACTTTCAATGGCCGTGGCCTTGATATGAGATGCATACCTTCTGAAGCAACTTCAAACGCCGATTTCAAATCTGCTTTCCTTTTTTGCGGAGCGCTCTTCTGAAGAGAGTTATGGAAGCCTAAATATCCTGTCTTTGGGCGCCCCTTGAGCCTCCTTGGGGCTCCGCTCCATTCACTTAGGTGGTCCTGTATTTGGAACCTCAGAATTCGCTGAAACTTGGACCACAGGGGTTATTTCACTTGCTGATTACAAAACGATGTCTTATGCTTTACAGATCTTGAATTATGCTTACTGTACGTATACGATAATGGGTCAAACATCAATGTGCTGGTATTTTGCATGACAGGCCTATTTGACATTGTTAACGAATATCATGTTATGCGAACAGCGGAAGCCTTGATAACGACCCCCACCCTCCCTGATTCCTCAATACGACTCCCCAGGTGTGGCATGCCACACCCACGCTTGACCATGGTTGTATGTGCAGAAACAGCATAACAGTTGTGGAAGGATCGCCTCGAACTTGACGGAATTAAGTCTAGCAACAAACCATACAAGTCATTTGAATGAATGTTCTGTGTTGTCCGCGTCTATACATGATTATAAAGGAACATTGGCTCAAGATAGTAGATAATCCAGACTCCAATTACATGTACATTACAGTACATTGGAGAAACAAAACAATCATTAAGATCTAGAATTGATCAGCATGTGAATACGACATCACGGGAATTCCGCGACATTCCAGAAATTTCGCGCAATCCACGCAAATCACGCAAATTACGCAGCGCTATATCTTCCTTGGAAATGAATTTGTTCTAAATTCGAAAGCAGCGTTTTTTCAGCTCTTCAAGAGGAATCTTTTTATATACAACATGTCCTCGATATTCCGTTTCCACTTTTCTCGAATTCTTCTGCGGAGGTCCGTTTGCAAGGATGTAACAGCGCTCATTCAACATGAAAGATACCAGCAAGCAATTTTGTAGTCCTGTTTTTGTAGACTGTAGCGCGCCAAAGTATAGCCAGAGACGTTTTCTTCTAAAAGAGATATACGCTTTTCCAGATTCTATTCGTAACTTCCTTGGGGATAAATTTATTCTGAATACGAAAGCAGCGTTGTATTCAGCTCATTAAGGCGAATCTTTTGATAAACAGCATGTTCTTGATATTCCGAATCAGCATTTCTGAATCTTTCTGCGGGGTCTCTTCGCAAAGGTGTAAAGTAGCGCGCAGTACATGGTAGATGTCAAAGTCACAGACTTGCCTGCGTCTTTGCGCCATAAGGTTATTTGATGCTCTGATCACGAATACTGTGTTCATTTCGCATGATGAAGTCTTTACCAGACTTTTTGATTTAAACTGACCCACGAAAAATTGCTAATAGCTGTTGTGGTTGGCACAGATTGCAAGGAAATGGTGCTTTGTTACGAGTCCATTGCATGCTTATCATTTTGCCATTCGGTTGTGATAGTTATTCGGCGCGACTAATCGCTGACCATTTTTTCCTCGGGCATGCTTTCTTCACTGACGTCGCGATTTGCCCGAATCTCAGCGATATCGCGTCGCTGACTTCAAACGAACGACGCGACCTATTCGCAAGATTGGACTTCTTTTCTGAAAGTTTTTATTATCGTTTCTTAGCCTTTTGGGCTGTTTTCTTGTCTACTATTTCAAAAATAGTTCTATTTTGTCAAAGTGCATTGCTTCTCCTTAAATCGATTCTCTTGCTTCCATTTTTGGTGCTATCCTTGAGACAAGATTTTAAAGTCGTGTATTTCGTTCAGATTCGGTTTAGAGGGGTTATTCGACCCGCTGCGAATATCATGGTTAATTTGTACGGTAGCGCCAATTTCTGGGGCTACCGTGAGTTTACTGTAGAGGGTCAAAATCGCGGACTCGCTCTAAATTTGTTGTGGGAGAAGGGGTTTCGTGGCGCACCGAACATGATTATCATGATGATTGCCTAGGAATTGTCTTTTCGAGAGAATCGCGAGGCGATGAAATCGCGTGATGTATCCCGGCCCTTAAGGCGCATAGATAGTAAAACCAGTACGAGCCTATGCGAAGCAGAGGTGATGCACTTGGTTATAGATATTCCGTCCTACCAGTCTAGGAAAGAACTAATTCGTAATCGCTTTTACGACCGGCTATGCATGGATACCGGTTGCGTCGTCTGTCCATTTGGTCAATGAGGCGATTGCATGAAGACCGGAGTAGTTTGCCAGATAACTTGTCAAATTTGCGAGAAAGCGTATTTAGAAGAGACTATCAGGCCTCTGTGTGTGAAAATTAAAGAGCACTTGAACGGCCTCACAAAATCTAAATCCAACACCACTTTAGGCGCACATCGTTATCGCAACGTTAGGCCTGAATAAAGAAGTTTAGCGGTTTTGGTTATCGGCTATAAAATACGTAAATAACTACTTCAAGCCACGATTCATCGACAATCGAGCTTGGACTTCAGTTAGAGGTGTCATTTTGTCCTTTGAAAGAAACCGGAAAGTAATTTGTTGAGAGAGTAAACCAATGACTAGCTTTATACATAAAGCTGTTCAACGGTTTGCTGATCATTTCGCAAAATTAGTTTGAACCTCGCTTCAAACAAACTCTACAAAACGCTCATTCTCGTTATGATCTTCCGATTGGTTTGCAATGCAATTTTCTGCTTCATTGTACTCGTAGTTTCTTTCTCCTGCGGTCTTGCTGAAAGGTCGTTCTCTTCCCACCTACTCTGTATATGTCCGAAGACATTACCTGAAAGTCTTGAGTACTTCAGACGAACCGGGTAATCTCGTTTATCTGAGGACCAAACCTTCTATCTCTCGTATCCACGTAATACACCGTCGAATCAGGTCGAAGAAAGGAAGAAGCAACCAAAGAAAAAGCCATAGGGTGAGGATTTTTTCACTTGAGGAATTTTCACCAGCGTCAGTTATGAAGTGCAGCGGTGGGTTAATTTACTCAAAGACTGCGTTGGAGGGCGAATGAGGAGAGGAAAACGAAGAACTAGAAAATAGGGAGAAAGACTCTTTGAAAGCACTATACAACTTTTTCAGCTGTTAACAATTAACAAAAATAGTATCCTAGATTGCGCATTTCCCTACTCGCTTGACAAAATGAACTTTGGCCACTTTGTTAGGATGATAAAACCCACATTGCAGTATTATTTTGTTCTGGAGCGATTCTCTCGGTTCCGATTTCGACTCACGCGCTAGTAGTTTCCGGTTCCGTTTCACGGCGGCAAGCGGAAGCAAGAACTTCTTTTTTGAAGCTGTGAGTGTGAATTCACAGTGGGGAAGACCCCTCCCCCCCACCTGCTTATTTCCCTCCTTCGTTAAAGCCCTTCTTCCAATTTTTCGCGCTCTCCATTGTGGATTTTCGGTTTCAGCATGGCGAATAGGCCCGGGTAAGCGAGGATCTCATCGACTTTTTGCCCGGACCTGTTTTGGAGGCAGCGTCCCAACAGATTTTCGCTACTTTTTTAACTATTCGGAGCCTTCTTACCATAAGGAACCCATATGTGGACTTTTCAGCGCATAAAAATGGCGAAAATGAGCCTTGTTTGAAGCTTTCCAAGTCCGCAGTTAGTGAAAATAGGCCGGAGGTCTTCCGCACCCCGCCTCCCTCGTTTCGGACCTCGTCCACTTACACGTATTTTTCACTGAATGCGAACCGAGAAAGCTTCTAAAAAAAGCTTATTTTCCCCATTTTCATGAGCTAACAAGCTCAGAGCCCGAAAAAATGAAAAACTGGAAGACAAGTTTTGCCGGGACACTGCCTTCAAGAAATAGATCTGAGGGATCCGTCAGAGTTTACCAATGTTACAAGTGTTGCCCGTGTTACGATGTAGTGGTACGCGTGTTATTCGTGTTACCAATGTTACTAGTGTTACCGGTATTAGCACTGTCACTCGTGTTGCTCGTGATACTAGTGTTTCACTATTTAGTATCAACGCTTGTCGAAACGAGCGTTAAAAGAAACGGAAAGCGAGAGGAAACAAGGGGAAATAAAATATATTTTTCAAACATTCTTAGCATGGATAATTTGCTCTCTTTGGACTGTAAAGGGCGACCAGAAAAGGACGATACATAGCGCACGACACTGAGAGTGCACGATAAGTTGAGCACGGCTCCTTTAAGCTAGGTCATATCACGCGAAGTATGCGCAGTACTATAGGTACACGCCATAGTCGACCCGCATCGACTTGATCCATTTCGTCCATTTCGTGTAATTACGCCGTCACTTACTTGCCTTTGGTGTCGCGTAGGCGAAACGCAAAAACACGAGGTTTTTCAACTTACGCGACGCCATGACAGATTAGTGACGGCGCGTTTTGGACGAACTGAGAGTAGATTAGGTGCAAGTGGAAAAGTGGTTTAGCTATGGCTTGTGTTATAGAGTAAAGAGTGGACAATGGTTGCAGACCCTTCAGCGTAACAAATGTAGTCGTCCGCGACTATATGTGATCTTAAAGGCAGCGTCCCGGCAAAAAGATGGGTGACTGAAGTTCGGAGCGAAAGAGGGGTCTGCCAAGCCTGAAATTTGCTGCGAAATTAGCCCGAATCTTACGGTAGGCCCGGACGCCGCCCACACAGCAATATCGATTCGCAAGGCAAGAGTGCGTATAACGCACGCAGTCATGAGCGCAGTGTCCCGCAACGACTCTGCTCTCTACCTTGCATGCATCTCGCACTGGCCCGAGCCTACCGCAAGATTCGGGTAACTTGAGGAGCGATTTGTATACTTCGTAGACCCCCTTTCGCGCTGTAAACTTCTGTCGTCGCTTAGGGTTGTTTCAGACTGCCGCACTGACTGCACTGACTGCAGCAGACTGCAGCTGACTGCAGCTGACCGCACTGACCGCACCGTTCGCAGCCTCTTTTCTCAAAAGAAAACAACCGCGATTACCAAAACAGCGTGATTTATGCATAAGAAGATCATAAGTTCCATCAGAATTCTTCTCAATCAAATTTTGGGGATAGTTTTCTTTGGTATGTTCGTATTTGTTCTAATTCCTCCTATCATTGCATATACCTGTTTTGTAACATTCTCAACCGTGTTGTCTTTTGCTTTTACGTATATATTGTTGTTGTTTGTTTAAACCACAACTATTTATCCTCTCCGCCTTCATGCTACAGCCGCTGCGGTCGTTGCGGTCAGTGCGGTCAGCTGCAGTCTGCTGCAGTCTGCTGCAGTCAGTGCAGTCAGCTGCAGTCTGCTGCAGTCTGCTGTGGTCAGTGCAGAATGCTGCAGTCAGTGCAGCAGTATGCAACAACCTTTAGTTAGGGGGTACTATTACATCACTACCAGAGCCAGGTATCTTCGGTCTGGTGGACGCCTTTAAGCAACGGAGGGAGCGGGTGGGGATAGACCGATGTCTGCATATGTTAGATTATGTTTACGTAGGTGAGAAACTTTTGAAGAAGTTTCACATTGGCTGCTACTGCAGAAGTTGTTTCTCTGAAAATTAGGTAAGATTGACGCCATCCACTCCGCTCGGCTAGTGATGTAGAATACTGAGACAGACAGAAGAAGTTACATGCAGCCTTTCTGTACCTGAAGAAAGCTTTTGATAAGATGCCCCATGAAGTTATCTGGTAGACCTTATGGAAACACATAGTGTCAGAGTATTTTCAGTGATAAAGCTGATCTACCACAACGCTCTAAGTCACGTGCAAACAGCTACAGGCTTTCATAGCTTTCCAACAGCTTTCATCACGTAGTGAATGCCGTGATGAAACGATATGAATCTCTTTGGACACTCCTCTGAGAAGATAATGTGGTTCTGTTAGCAAGTACCAGAAAGGATTTAAAAGACGAGATACAAAACTGAGTTGAATGACGTAAAGCTTAGCATCAGGAAGACAAAATATACGGAAGTGGGAGAACAAACTCAACTCCAGGGCCGGCAGTGATCCCCCCGACCTGGCGGCATGTTTCGCCGTCAGGGCGCCGTCACCTTTACGTGAAGTAGGCGGGAACACCGACCTTAAGTCTGCCTCCATACCCTTTTCACCACGATCTTCCTGCTCAAGCAGGTCATTGTGACCTTAGAGAATCTCACTTGGCAATTGGAGATTCTAAAAACCTTCCTAAACAAAATTGTTGAGGTAAGCAGGAGGTGCTGGCGGCATCTCGTCGAAATTTCAGCGCTGAGGGATGCCGTCAAGTCAGAGAGCGCGAGAAATAGTGTGCTCATTTGAGAGATCAAAGTGACACCACCCCGACGTGCGCCTACCACGTCGAGGTGCTGGCACCTTTGCCGACGGCGTTTGTGAAATTGTGTCGCGCGGCTATCACACAACTTACGCCAGCAAAAGAATCAAAAAAATTTATTTCTCATCGAAACTATCATTTTTTGCCATTATATGGCATTTTTCTCCTTCAAATTGATGATATGCATGCACAAAAAACAAGCAGTGATAATATGAAACCATAAAGAACGCCATTTTTCATTTTGCATTTGCTTTAATCTCATTTGCAACAGTTTCGTCTCTCGCTCGTTCTTATCAATCAGCTGTTTTTTCAAGTCAGCGTCTATCACGTAATGTATTAATCATGCTCTCAAACAAGCGCCACTCAAGCAGCGTTTCTACCATTGCTGCCGCAGACGACAAAAACTGAACTAGTGGTCGAATGATTAGTGCGGCGGCGCTTGAGGTTGACACATGCGGGTTCGAACGCCCGAGATGCCAATGTTTTGCGACTACCAGCGTCATTACATACGATAGATCAGCGAATCCAGGCAGAGTTGGCAACTTTTCGTAATGTGTGCCAACTTGGCGGTATCTTTGATGCCGCCAAGTAGGGTAGATTATACCGGCCCAGGTACCATAAGCATTGATGGTGAAGAACTAAAGAAGACAAGCTCACACAAGTGCCTAGGCAATCACATCTCAGCTGAAGAAGGCCTACAGGAGGAGATCGCGGGCAGAATGGACACAGCATGGATGAGATGGAGAGCCTTGATAGGAGTATTACGCGACAAAACATTGCCAGTGCGTCTCAACTCCCAACTGTACCGGACCGTTATTCATCAGCATTGTATGACAGTGAGTGCTGGCCATTTGAAAGGAAACGGAACGCAATTTCAATATCGTGGAAACAAGTATGCTAGTCCCTTAGAAGTCATACTGAAGTCATACTACTACTATCACATCTGCATTGAAGCTGTATGAGCCCGATTGAAAGTAGCTCCGTTTGCCCAAAAATGCAAGAAAGAAGGCTACGATGGTGTGGGCATGTGCGCAAAAGGGATAAATGTCATATCACAAGGTTAGCCTTAGCGGGGGAGGCACCAGGCGAAAGACCCAGAGGTAGGCCCAAGATGAGGTGGATAGACAGAACGGCTGATCTGCAAAAACTTGGAAAAGACGAAGGCCTTGCCTCAAATAGAAAAACATGGAGACAGCTGAGAAGAAAAGCAAATCCTGCATAAGCGGGACACATGTGAGGGTAAAAAATTGTGACACAACACAATAGCATGTAGACAGAGATCCATCTGTTACAATACGGTGGCATGGGTTGATTTTGTACATCAGACCTGCGCAGAAGCTTCGTCGCACCATTCTCGATCCCACGCTCTTTCTTTCCCAACGTATTCGCATGGGCCATCATGTTTAAAAGACAACGGTTTTTGAAACTGCGCCTAAAAAATCAACCTTGCTATCCTGCAGAATTTTTTCAGATACTATTTGTAGTACGCTTGCGACTAAAATTGCTGAATTGAGCGCTTCATCCCGTTCTTCAAAAATAGTTAGAGACATGTATATACGTCGAGGAAGCAGCTATAGTTTTAAAAAAATTGTGCCATAAAACTTTGGGCCAACCAATTTATAATAGCATACAACATATGTAAATAGCCGAAATTGTATGCTGTGCGTCCCATTCTTTTTCTGGGATAGACAAAACAGCACTAATTTTTGGTTTAATACGAAATTGTACAAGATTTAATGCTGATAGACGCGTCGCATTGTTTCTCTCTTCACTTATGTAACACAGCATCAATACTCTCCTGAATATTACCTCGTTATGTTCAAAAAAGAGAGAGCACTAATTTTTGCAGTAGTACGCAATTTCTTCTAAATCGGCTAACTCTTAGTTTTCGGACTACTCACCTTTCGCGAAGAAAATGCTTTACATTGCCATGGTACTACTCCACTTATTTCTGGAACTACCAGCCCAAGCAAAGAACGAGAAACTTGAAAGTATGTTGTGCCATACAAAATTTGTTATAGTTGCAACTTTCTTCAATCGGTCTAATGTTTCAGCGACTTCGTCGTCCTCAGCGACCGTTACACCACCGCTAGATGTGACGCCCACCGGAAGCTCCACCGGAAGTAAGTGACCGTGGCAGGCAACGTCGTCGTCGTTTTATTTGTTTTATGTTTTATGTGTATATGTATGTGTATGTGTGTGTGTATGTGTAGGTGTATACGGATGTTCCGAATAGAAAAATCCGTTTCTGAACAGATCCGGACCAAACTTAGCACACATACAGGGCTTATCAATTGAAGTGTCGGGTGCACTAGCATCTCGACTCCCGCGCTGGACTCTGCGTCCCTTCCGCGGAACATGCCCTCTAATCACTTCCAATCGATTGAGGCTCCGCCTTTCCCACGCTGATTATGGACATATTATTGACAGGACCGGGCGGACCGGGTTTGCCAGCCAGGGTTTTACGATAGTGTCCAGCTTTCGCGGTCTTTTTCACATGTTCTATTCTCCGTTCGACATCAACGAGACTAGAAGCCGTTTTGACGAACGAATATGGGTAGCATGCGCATAATGTAGCAAAACTTTACTCATAAACAAGAACATAAATTATCCTGATTTATAGAGTGGATTTTTATAGTTTGCAGCAGTGAAGAAACGAAAATGTTGTGACCGTCTTGCCCCTCAAAGCAATATATCAAAGGCTGACATAAATTACTTTTATGGAATGGAGCATAATGAAATTTGAATGTTTTTGAGAGTTGGTTATCGGAATATATGGACATTAATTGCTGTTTCTCATCTGACATTCTTACCTAAATTTCTGAAGTATAGCAGATCAGAAGCTTGGCGGATATCAGGTCGGTGCAAAAGTTTTGTCAGCTTTTCGTAATGACCCGCAAATCCCGCACAGTGAAAATAAAACAAGCACTTCAAGCCTCATCCGGTACGGGATCTCTTCCCGTTTTCAGCTGCCATCCGCGATGTGATTCATTGAGAGTGCTGGGGTTCATTTTTACCATGTTTGACTTTCGGTAAGTATCAAAAATTTCATTAGAGGCTTTTGAGGGAGCTCTAATAGCCAGCAGATAGGGAAAGTCTTTTGGCAGCCACAACAACTTTCCTTGGTTTCCGCTACTCTTTTGAATTTCTGCTAGATAATTTGAAAAAATCTCATCCGATTGATGCACAAAACGCAAAATCTGCGAAATACTGAAGCTTCTCAACATGAAGTATTTGAGATTTAGGCTACGTCAGTGCGCACTCGTAAAATTGAAAAACACTGCGATTTTCGCGTTTTTCTCCAAATTCCGACTGCTAGAATAAGTAATCAATCTCTTACTTGCTTTTCGGGCTATTATATGCGAGTGTCTGAAAAGGCGAGAGCGCATCCTCTGATGTATGAAAGTTTGGGGCGCGTGGCCCAAATGAGTAGCGAAGTTCGATTTGTTGAGGTCAATCGGGCACCTGCCGTGTCCAACGTGGCCAAACTTGCCAGATCGGACCATATTTTTCAAACAGACGTAAGCCTGATTACCAGCTTAGATTCGTGTATCGCAGGCGCCGTTGCCCACCTACACGGGCTGTAATCTGTATAGAGAATTCCTTCCCATATAGGTGACTAGCTGGCATACCCGGCTCCGGGCACTAGGTACACTTCTGTAAAAAAAGCCGAAGTTTCATTCCTTAAGAAGAGGAATACAACTTCGGCTCTTTATTTGTAACGTATCGTTCCTAAACTTAGACGGTTTGGCTACACAGGTCCTAGGCTTTCCCCGGAACTCATCAGTAAGGAAGGAAGCTCAACCGGATCTGTTCAGCCCTAGTTTGTCCCATCCACCTGCCCTGACCGCCGCTGGCCGCCAGTTTTTTGGGTTTTCGATTTGCCATTTTTTTAGATTTTGTGTTTTCCAGTTTTTTTGGACTTTATAGTTCCCCGTTTTTTGATTTTCCAATAGAATGGCATGCAACAAATAAATACTGTACTATACTACAGCATGCAATTGTGTTAACGCCCTGAGATACACTACGCTAGCTGTGCTGCCTTCGGGCGCATATAAGTTGCATAGTACAAGTTCGCGAGATTCCCGACCCTCGGACACGCCACGTGCAGCTGGCCATGCGAAAAACAGAGAGTTTCCTCAAGTCTACTCTCCTACTGTTCGCAAAGACTGTCTTTGCGCTTTGTTGATCGTCTTAGCGAGTGCAGGTCTGACCGGAAACTGCAGTCGCTTGAAGTCAAAAGGCATATCGGAAAGGACCACAGGGATTCGTAGAATATGAACGACTTTACCTTTAAACTTCCCTACCAATATAATCGCTTCTATGATGTTACTTAGATACTTAGATGGCCCGTCCTTACGTGACGTGCGGGCCCCAGTACAGAAGAAGAAAGAAGTTGCCATTTTCCCCTGTCCCTCGCTTCAGACATCCACGATCTTCTTGGCCGTCGTCGGTGACTGCGTCCACGAGTTCCAGGGGCGAAAGTCGTATCCAGCTGGTTTCTCAGCTGGTCCATCCGTTCAACGAACACGTCTGCCCATCTCGTCGGTGGTCTTCCTCGAGGACGTTTGGCTTCGCGAGGAATCCACTCAGATGTTCTTAGTGTCCATCTGTCGTCTGTTCTTCTCATTATGTGACCGGCCCATCGGTGTTTGGCTTTCGCAACGTATTCCGCTGGGTCACGAAGACGGGACATTCTTCTCATATTCGTGCTGCGAAGTCCGACTAGATGTTGCTTGCGTCGGGTCATCTTCAGAAGACTGCGCTCGAGCGCTCTATGGGTGGTCCGTAAAGCTTTCGACGTGGCTAAAGTGTCGGCCCAAGTCTCAGCTGCGTAACAGAGCGCCGGGAGAACGGTTGAGTCGAACAGGTGGGCACGAAGCTCCGGGTCCGTCAGTTGGTCGGTGGCTTCCTTCAGAGGCCCGAAGGCGGCCCAGGCTGCTCTTCTTCTCCTGTTAAGTTCTTCCCTCAAGTCGTTCTCCATGTTCATCGAACGTCCCAGATACACGTAAGAAGGGGTGATAATAATAGGGGCTCCATAATAGGGGTGCCTTCCAATTCCATTTCTGCATCTTCGCAGAGGGCGTTCCTCATGAACTCTTCCGATTTATTCGCAGTCCTATCTTCTTCCCTACTTCGTTCAGTTCCTTCAGCATCGTCTCTGCTTCGGTGATACTGCTCGAGAAAAGAACGATGTCGTCCGCAAAACGAAGGTTGGACAGGAATCTCCTATCAACTCGTATGCCTCTCTCGTCCCAGTCCAGTGACTTCATCACCCACTGCAAGGCCGCGGTGAACAGCTTCGGCGAGATTGTGTCGCCTTGTCGGACCCCCTTCCCGATTGGTATGGTCAGGGGGCGATGGAACAGCTGCATCGTTGTTGTACAGCCCTTGTAGCAGTTGGCTAGTGTCCTCACGTAGGTTGGGTCCACTCCTTAATCGACTAGCGCTGACAGGATGGTGTTGGTTTCGACGCTGTCGAAGGCTTTCTCGTAGTCGACGAAGGTTAGGACGAGAGGCAGTCGGTACTCCCGGCAGACTTCTATGACCCTCGAAACGGTGTGGATGTGGTCCATGCAGCTGAATCCTTTGCTAAATCCAGCTTGTTCTTGGGGTTGGGCTTCATCCAGTGTACTTGATATGCAAGCGAGGATAATCTTCGTGAAAAGCTTGTACAGTACACTCAGCAGGCATATTGGACGATAGTTCCAAAGATCCTCCCGTTCACCCTTCTTGAAGAGAAGGACGGGTCTTGACGTTCTCTACTGGTCGGGAATCTTCTCCTTCTGAAGGTAAGATGTCAAATGCGACGCTAGAATCTCGTGTAGACGGTGTCTTCCGGCTCGCAGAAGTTCGACGGAAAGATGATCTGGTCCTGGAGCCGTGGAAGTCTTTATGGTCTGTATTGCGATACGCACTTCAGCAGGAAGAATTCGTGGTGGTACTTCTCCAGTGGGAACAACGGGCATCTGCACGGGTGTTGATGAGCGAAAGAGGTTGGTGTAAAAGTTCTTCGCGATAGATTCCATCTTGTATCGGGAAGAAGTCAGAGTCCCGTCTTCGTTGTAGTGCAGCCAGCGGTACGTGATATTCGCAGAGGTTCCTTCGGCACTTCTTAAGACTTCGTCTTCTTTCGGCTGCTTCTAGTATCTTGGCTTGCCTGTACTTCCTGAGATCCTCTCGCAAAGCTGTTCTGCAACTGGCGTTGGCTATCAGTCGCTAGAGATGGGTTGCATTCGGATCCTGCCTCAAAAATCTTCTTCTTTCGAGCAATTCCTTGGTGGTCTTCGAAATGCGTTCCAAGTTCTTCTCAGAAGTCACTGAGGCGCATTCTCCACAGGCTCGCAATCCTTTCAGAAGCCGGTCGTAGTCGTACGTTGGGTCCTCCTCGATGGGCCAGTCACAACTTGATATGAACTCTTCCAACCTGTTACCGTCATAAACGACTTCCTTCCTTCTCGCGGCACTATGAGAGATTTTTTTTTCCAGCACTATGACGTTTGGTATGAGATCCCTGATGCAAGGCCTTGGACCATTGCACATCTTCAGTGGGTTGGTGTTACGAAGGAGCATGATTGGCAATAACCTTCAGATCAAGTCTATGAGGTGGTATCGCGTTGGGTTCGAGCAGAATCATCAGGGATCTCATACCAAAGGTTCAAGAACCCAGTGGGGAAGTAAACATCCTGTTCACGCTGAACCATCGTATAAACGGATGTGTACGTTAATACCGGTCCAGGTAGGCTGTTTAGAATCTAAACATTGATAGAATTCATTTGCTCATCCACTTTCCATTGTGTAGTTGGTGACAATGTTTGGGAAGATCTTTTCGATCAGTTTTTCCACCAATTGAACCATATTGCAAAAGTCTGGAGGAAAAGTAATCCAGCCAGAACCTGGTTCAATTTGAAATGTCTTCGCCAAGAAGCAACAATTGTTGCGCAAAGCTTCTGTCTCATCGCCAAGGAGGTGGTCTTGCATGTTTGTCGTGAGATCCAGCGATCGAATATGTCTCCAGAGTTGAGAAGCTTTGAGGCAAGCGTACAGCTCATCTGCTGTAGTCGACCGCGGAATCACTAGCAGCGCTTGACGAAAGTCGCCTGCCAGTAACGCGATAGCCCCATTCACTAG